CCCCAAAACCCCAAAACCCCAAAACCCCAAAACCCCTTACTTTGGAAAGAAATTGAATAATATTTTAAAATGCATAAAATACAAAACGAGGAAAGTAAATTTGACAATACTTCTGAAGGCAACACTTCTAATTCAGATGACTCCCATATAAAATTCTTGTTCCGGTCAGCACTGGATGTAGGCTCTTCATTCTTAAAGATCGAGCCTGATGTTGAAGATGTCAGTTTTTATCAGACAAGAGAGGGAACAATGGTGGGAAAAGTATACCTCGAAAATTCAACTCCAGGAGCTCCTGTTGCCTTTTATGGATGGTCTTCTCATTTACTTGATGTTGAAATCACTCCAAATTATGGATTTATCATGCCAGGAGAGTTTCAATACGTTGAGTTCGAATTGCCAACAGATGATCCTGAAGAAGTCGGAAAAGGGCTTTATTTCATCAAAGCTTTGCCTCTTGCAAAAAACTTTGATATGGACGAGCTTGAGGAAAATATTGACGAAGTATTCCATGATCACAATCAAATGATTCTATTTACACTAGCTACTTTATCTGGTCAAGCAAACCTGGATCAAATAGCTGATGAAGTAGAATACGATAACCATATCGATAGAGAAAACATTATTTACACAAAAGACTACAAAGATAAGATAGAGAATGAGAAAAGATTGTATAACAACAAAATTTTAGCTTCTAAGCCTAACCAGCAGCAAGAACAAATAGCCAAGCCAGAAGCTGATGCCTCTGTGCCTGAAATTGAAGAAACAAGGTCACAGCCTAGAGAATCAGATCTTCTTGGCTTAAATGAGCCTTCATCTTCAAAAGAAAGTAAGTTGTTTTAATTCAAAATTTAAATTGCACAAAAACTGGTTGACCTGATCTAGTTGATGTATTCCAACCGTCAAGGGATAAATCTAATACTTTGACTAACGATTTCCACCCTACCCCAAAAGACGAAGAAGAAAGTGGAGAGGCTTACCAAAAGGATAACTATTCGGACTCAAGCAGCTCAGTAGATGACACCAAAGAGATGAGATAAGACTCATAAATTTCGGAGGGACAATTTTTGGAATTTAAAATGGGGTTTTGGGGTTTTGGGGTTTTGGGGG